TCAAATGCACTCATTCCCACCACTCCAGTCACAGAATCGATCCATCTCATCAAGGGTCTTCCTCTCCTGCGCCGTCCCTCCACTCTCCCAAACATGATGTCCCTCTCCAAGGACCAGTCCCTCCTTGAAACATGCACAAAGTATGTCAGACGAAGCTTCAGAATCCTAGACTCCAAGGAGCATTCCAGCTTCACCTTCTCCAAGACAAACCTGTTTGTTCTCCTAGCAGTCCATGGTATATTCAACACTCTTATCCAGCACCACAACTCAAAGGGATCAATTCTCTTTCTATCATCCCTATTCACTTTCCAACTCTCTGATGCATAGCACGTAAGTAATTGTGATACATTAATATTTTATATAAACTTCATGTGTAAATAAATACAAAATAAACAATATGCATTTATATTTACATTAACTATAAATGAACATGTCTCTTTATTATATATTTATAGAAATGTATACTATATATGAATATTTGAATTATTGTATATATTCTTTCTATAAATGTCAATATATTTAATGTATTTATAATTTTAGGATGCTCTACTGGCTTAGTGGTAAAGAATTGCACTGGCAATGCAAACATATGTAGTTCAAATCCACCAGTAGGTGAAAGATGAGCAGTCTTCTGTGTGATTTACTGCATCTGAAAACCCACCACAGTGTCACCTCTGGGTCAGTTTTGATTAGACAGTATATATAAAAATAAAATCATGCATTTATAACTTGATATGTATTTATAAATACATTTAATTTGGATTATAACTTATATTTTAAATCCTAAAATATGAGAGAGGGCACATAGAAGGCCAGGGAAGAAGTCACCTGCAACTTTCATGTAGAGAAACTGCTTCAGTTAGGGAACCTGTCTACTGGAACATTCTGCAGACCACTGAGGAAAATAGACTTTTGGAGAGGGGATCTCAATCAGTTGAGAGATCGTCTTCTACAGAGGGTTTACTGAGATGTGAGGGAGAAAGCTGCCTGCACTTCTTCTAGAGAGAAACTGCTTCTGTTTGGGGAACTTTACTACTGGGCCACTTCAACAAGCATAAAGGACAACAGAGGTTAGAAGAGCGGGGCAAAATCAGGTTAGAAACTCCCAGAGGGCACATTGAGGGGTAGGGAAGAGAACCTCCTGAAATTCCCTTGGAGAGCAACTGCTTCAGTTGGGAAACTTGGTAACTCAGCTGCTCCTTGGATCACAGAGATCAATAATAAACATCAGGGGAAGAAGATCACACTTAGATGAGATTCCCACAGGACTGCACAGCAGACCAGAGAGAACTTAAAGGACTTTAGGAAAGGCAAATTTTCTCACCGTACAGGAACAGAAGGACTTCTGTTAAAAAAAGGTGCACACTCACATAAACAGAACACCTTAAGACTACAACTAATCAAAAATATATTCATAAAGTTAAAGAACATATAATTAACCTATGAAGACACAACAAAACATGCTGTTTTCTTGGCACGTATAGCACATACCAAGAAAAGCTTCACATAATGTCAAGAAAGCAGCCGACAGCCTCAAACATTGTGGGGAGGGAAACAAGTTAGAGTTTGCATAGAGTCAGAGTGGTGGTTCACCTTTTGTTCCTTTAATTCATGCCAGGAACCTCAGAGTTTTGCACACAGCAGGAATCTCAGACCACCAGAAGTCTACCAGCTTTATTACCATCAGGCTTCCTGGGCGATACAGGATATTCAGTTCCAGATCTGTGTCGGGCCCATGGATCTGCAACCCTCCAGCCAAATAAACACCAGCATTCCAGATCTAAATGAGACATAACCCTCACCTAGGAAATTATTGTACTGTGACAGCCACGTGGTGCAAGAGGAAGATCAGAAACACTAAGCTACAAGATGATAATCCTGGAGCAGAAGGCAAGGGCAAGAACCTCAGGCAAAATTCTTCCCTGATGCTGACACATGATATTTGAACTTAAATCCTCCTAAACATGAGATAGGAATCAGCATGAGAGAAAAACAGTATTGCAAGGTGCAAGCCTTCACAGAAGCGACTCAACATATCAAGGGATTCCTGTGGGGAGGGAGGTGTGAGACAGGGTAGGTGAGAGAGGAAGGGATGGTGATGTGCAAGGAAAGGGAAGACATATATGGGGGGGAGGGGATTGAATGTATTGGCTCTCTCTGTGAGAGGAAGTGTCTTTTTCATCAGCTCCTTTTGGTAAAATGCTTGTCTGACAGATATTGTTCAGAGGCTAAGCATCCAAATTAAGACAAACTAGGAAGATGAATTGGTCATCCACTTACAAAATATAACAGGTCTTTGGAAACCCTACGTACAATAGAGCAAATTTAGAGAAAACTAACAAATATGGAAACTGAGGCTGAGCCCTCAAATCTGGGAACACAAAGGAGGAGGAACAGTTATAAACAGAAACTAATGATTGGAACATTGGAAATGAGAAGCATGAATGTAGGAAAACTGAACACCTTTAACAAGGAAAGTAAATGCATAAATACTGACACATTAGATATTGGCAAAATGAGATGGATCGACATGGACATTTTTAATAAGACAATCACATGATCTACTATGCTGGAGATGAAAAGGTGAGGAAAAAATTTCCACACTTAAAAGGTCATTTCTGGATCCATCTGGAAATACAATATTGTGAGTGAAAGGATACAAGAAAGACCTGCTAATATCACTT